TATAAAATTCTTTGGTAGGTACTGACTCATACAAGTCAGATAGTTGATTTTACTTGTTGGCTTTAATTAAAATTTCAAACAATCTTATTTCAGAATAAAATGATTAATCAAATGGAATTATAATTCATGTATTATTATAGCTAACTTAAGTGAAATCTATGTATCTTTCATCTAAGCAAAATAAGGGCATACTCTTTAGTTTGGATGGGAAAGGGAGTTAAGAATTCACTTCTTTTTACTCCCTATTTCCAAAACAAGATATGAACAAATGTTTTTTATGCTGTGAGGACTAGATATTATTCATGGAAAATATGTAGTCCTAAAATAACTTCTTGGGAATAGTTTTTGTCTGAAAAAGGTGACATTTATGCTGAGCCATGTTAAACAATTTTATTTGGAACTTTAAAAGCTGGCAAAAAAAATTGATGAAATGGTCTAAGTATATGATATTCAATTGAGAAAACTGTACTTTAGGATAAATGTGATAACTAAATAGATTTGTAAATGTTATTCAATAATCAGTTGTTTTATGTGAAGTTTAACATTTAAATTTTGCCTTAATAGCATCATTTCATTACTCTATCTTAGGGCATTTTAATGTTTGCAGAAAGACTATGTAAGTAAACTTTACATTAAGAGTTATTCTGTCTGTAGTAGTAATGAAATTCTTGGTGCTTGTTTGGTTAATTGTCAAACATTCAGGGAGAGCAGAATACCTGTTGGGTTCACACCATGTAGTTATATCAGTTGATACTTCAGAATGGATTTATTACATCCTGGTTGAACCAGTAGCTTTGTCTCCTTCCCTTAGTGTAAATGACTGTTTTTCATTTATATTGGGTGTAACTATCATAAATGAAGACTCAAGTTTATGAACTGGGAGTTTAAATGTTTGAGGATTACTGCACTTCCAAAGTTACTAGAAATGCCAGCTGTACTCTCCACTGAGAGAATGAACAAATCCCTATGTGTTATGTATGATGTTCTTTTTGAAAGCGTTTTGATGTAACACCAATTTAGAAATTACAGAATACAATTTGAATAATGGAAGGTTTTCTTTGTAATTAAAAAAAAAAATTTTTAGTTGATTGCTCAAATACTGGCTTTCTGTAAAAACATTATCATGTTAAATTTTGACTAGTGCAATACTAATAAATTTGCTGCTTGGCAGTTTTACTTACTACCTTTTAATTTGCTTTCTGCTATTACTTGTTATAGGTTCCATGTTGCTCATATTATGGTTGCATCTCTTTGGACCGATAAGTATAAGATAAAGGTACGTTTATTTGATAGGAAGAAATATTAAACTGTAGAGGGTCTCTGCAATGGAAATAAAGAACTGGTATGTAATTTTCTATCTCAAAACAATTAGTTTGGTTGTTGAGTATGAGTTAGATACATAATCTTGCAATTCTTGAATTGTTCTATAATCATGTTTTTAATACTTGACAGTCCTTGGATCTCAGGGAAGAAATATATTCTCTTCTATAGATCTCAATATTTTTATTTTAGTTAAAATATTGAGAGTAACCAAGGTATTACACTCTTGTCAGAGGTACTTTGCCTTGAGATAGTGAGAAATGACATATTACAAAGCTGGTTGCCATCCTTTCTTGTAGTCACGTATGACTTCCTTGTATTTCCAATTCTTGATTATATTCCCCGTTTCAGTGATGTTTTAAAAGGAAAAGAAAATCCGTTAATAACTTCGCATTCATATTAAACTTGAACAGGCTGCCAAATAGAAATTTGGTGATAAATTAGGTTTCTTTTTAACCTAACTATAGTCTGTCTTCTAGTCCTGCTTTGACTAGGGCTGTGATTTAGTGTGAACCCCCACAGATCTGATATTTACATGTTAGACAAACAGTATTATGAAAGGACAGTCTTCCCCTTTAATGAACACAGTTCCAGTACATCTTGGAATTAGAAATATTTATTCAGAATATAAGAATGTTTGTAAAATATTATAAATGTCTCTGTATAAATAAATGGAGATTTTAAAAAACAATTATATATCAAAGAACACAAAGTAGCTATTTTACATCTGCTAATAAAATGAAAGGCATCTAGAAACATTTAAAGCATAGAAATGAATAATCTACAAGGTATAGAACAAGGCTAAGTAGCAACTGTAAAATGAGACTTTTAGTACAAACAGTAGAACAATACTGACAGTCACATGTGCTTTAATAACTGATAGTACATTCAAGCAGGTTTTTCTAATAGTTCAAGTGGTTTAAAAGTAGCACATTTTCAAATAGGAAACAAATCTCATGCAAAGTAAGTCTTGACAATGTCTAAAAACTTATCAGAAGTAGTAAGAAAGGAACACGTTTCATTAGCAAAGCAGATTATTAGGGTCCTTTGCTTTTTTCACTTGGCAGTCCTTTTTTCACTTGGCAGTCCTAACTTGAACACTATAAGTGAGTACCAGAGTTCTACAAACAGAACATTTTCCACATGGATTTAATTTGCAGAAAGTGCAAAAGTGAATGTAGACCAGGAACAACTACACATGTCATCATTATGAATATGGGGAATTTTGTATATAGCTTGTTCTATTCTGTTGAGCTGATATTTCAGATGATTATTGGATCAGTGATTTTGTATCTACCTACTATGGAAAAATCAAGAACTGTTGGTGAAGTCTATGGTTATCCAGTAGTAGTTGTTGTTATGGAGCAGAGATTTCTTGTCAAGGTCACATGCAAAATCTTAACTAAAAATGTAATTGTCTATATGTGGAACTAGCTTCTTTTATACAAGATTTAGCAAAACAGCTGCTATTCAGACTTGTACCATTTTCTAGTCTTATCAGTGATAATTCTAATTCCAGTTATTATATATGCTTTAGGCTAACTTTTATATCTGTTAGTGACTACAAATATAGTCAGGCAGGAAGTAACTGCAAAAAGTGGCATGTTCAAGGTTAACTTCAGCCTGGCCTGTGGACACACGGAGTTTCAATGATCTAGAATAGGATTTGGGTAAACTTGAGTGAGAATTGGGAGTGCAGGAAAAGGCATAATTTTTGTTTTGTAACAAGTTTTGTCTCTTACAAAATAGTGCCAGCTTCTGAGCACTAGTAAGTTTGTAAGCCTCAGTGAAAGGTGGCAGTTGTATTATTTCTTGACAAGACATTCTCTAGATAAAATGAAAAATAATTACATATGATTTTTTAGTGTCACCTACTATAGAAAAAACAAAAATTGTTATTTATGTCTGCCCACCCCAAATAAAAACTTGCCAATATAATGACTATGCCCTCAATGCAAAACTTAATCATCAGAGACCTTGCTCCCCTTTTGGCCTCTAGAAACTATATTTGCTGCATCAAGAAATAGATGCAGCTGTAAACTTAGTGAACATGATGAAATTTTCACTTTAAATAGTTCATGGTTGAGCCATACTCCTAATTATGCATTTTGCACGTCACTCTGGGGTTCCTGCAAAGTACTGCTCAGAAGAGAACTCAGAAGGGCATGCACCTCAAAGGAGAATTGAGCAATTATGTTTAACTGGTACTTAATTTTTTTTATTGACATATTTCCAGTTTCAAGCACTGGATATTAACTTCAGAAAGCTGACATGCCAGCAGATGAGAGTGAGTATGAAACAGTTAATTAGCTGCATTGGCAATGCTGAGACACTTTGTAATTCCTCTGGAGCTCGAGGGCATGATGAGTAAATATCTGTCATCAGACAGCTGACAATCATAAATAACTTTTGGTGGAAGTTTCAAAAAGCAATCTTACCACCCATGGTGTGTGGCTTGGCAGTTTTGGTAGCTGGAGCACTTGGAGCCTTGGCAGACATCAGATATCGTTGGTAGGCCCACTTAGACGTTGATGGTACTACAGTAGAATTCTCTTACTGATTTTTGCCTCCATTCAGCAGCGGGCAGGAACTGCACTCAAGAAAACTGAAATGGGTCTTTTCTTCCCATGCCCACTGCTCTAAGGGACAAAGACTGAACCCTGAACAGAGAAGTTAACTGCCTAAAAGGGGTAAGAAACCACTGGGAGAAAACAGTTAAAAATATGAAGATTTTTGTTTGTTTTTTTAATACCTCATACAAGTTAGAATTAAGAACATTGTTTTACCTCTGATGGAGATGTTAATATAAACCAGCTTCTATTTAGGAAGAATTCAGCTTATAAAAAAGGAAAATTACCCAGGCACCTGCAATCACTTAATGATCAATTCAGTTTTAGTAGGCCCCACAATTAGCATAACCAAGTGCCTGTTGGTTCATCTTCAATGAGGAGTATTTGAAAAATACCAGGAAAGGAAATCAACTATTTAATGATAGCTTTTTTATTCTACACATTTATAAAAGTAACAGTTTCACTGGGGAATAGTTTCACCTACTCAACACATATTTAAAAAGTATTATAGTGAAGTATAAACTCAGAATGAGGCCAGGTAGTTTCAGTAATACATGGGCTCTTAATGGAAGAGCCAAGACCTTCTGGTCTGGAGGGGTTACATGAACTAACCCTACAAGGGTGGGTTCTCTGTTTTAACTTGGAATGAGAATGGTAGGCCAGCTGATAGGACTTTATTCCTGTGTCAGAAAGCCATGAATGCATGCCCCATTTGCTTAGAGGAGGACATTCACCTAGGCCAGTGGTCGGCAAACTCATTAGTCAACAGAGCCAAATATCAACAGTAAAATTGAAATTTCTTTTGAGAGCCAAGTTTTTTAAACCTCTTCTAACGCCACTTCTTCAAAATAGACTCACCCAGGCCGTGGTATTTTGTGGAAGAGCCACACTCAAGGGGCCAAAGAGCCGCATGTGTCTCATGAGCCATGGTTTGCTGACCACTGCCCTAGGCAAGCTGGAAAAAGGGAGAAAACTAATTTTTGGAAATACTTTTCAGCCAAAACATTTTCCTTGTGACAACATGAAAATTTACCCAAAGAGTACACACGAACCAGCAGGCACTTTCTTAGTGACCTAAGTATCCACAAGCTAGTATCCACAAGCTAGTTCTTCCAGACCGATTCCAGTTGACTTTTTTTTTTTTTTTTTTTTTAGATTGGGCAGCCTCACTGCTTACCTGAGAAAGTTGGTTGCTTTTGGGATAAAACTCTGCCCTCCAAGGTTGTGGCTAGAGTGTCCTTGTCCATTGTGCCGAAGGCTGAGGACTTGGATTCATGCTCTCTGAAAACATTTAGCTTGGGGACGTAATTACCTGTCATAAGCAAAACTGGCATTGGGGTGGACATTAGGTACTATAGAATAAATGGCAAGTGGTCCTTGAAAATAAAATCTCTGTAGGGCAACTATAGTAAGTGAAAGGGTGAAGGTTACAATAGGAAAGAAATGATGAATTTAAGATGGAAGCCCTTCCTGAAAGAATTCAGGTACTTTGGTCCTGCCCTGCCACCATTTTGTTGAGATTTTACCTGTTTAAGCACCATATGCTAACCATCACCACGTCTCCGGGGAGAAAAGGAGGCCTCAAGGACCATTCCCTCACCCCTGCCCTTCATAGCCTTGGGAGCAGAGTCGAACTGGCAGGTCAGTAGAAATCTCTTAAATGGGTGGGATCAGCCTGCGAAACTCCTTCCTTTACAGAAATTAGAGGCAGGCCCAGAGCTACATATAATTTGTGGATGAACTTTGATTCATACAAATAGCAATTATGTAGTCCTCTGGGGTGGGTGGAAAGTACTAAAAATGTTCCTCTGCTCTGAAAAAAATTAGATGCAATTTTAGTTGCAATACACATATCAACAGGATTCTGTCAGCGCCAAGCCTTGGCTATTGATAAGGCTCCACTTGATAGGGGCAATACCAAAGTGAGAGCTGAAGGCAATTTCATTCTTCCATACAGAATTGTTCAGGCACAAGCCTGTGCCTGCTTTACCTATAACTTCATATCTGGGACTGAAACAGCTATCTGCCTTTTTCCTTTAATCTGCCTCCCAGAGCATCTAAGTGGCAACCTGTATCTTAGAGTTGAAAACCAAAGCCTTCAGTAAGCAAATCTAGACATGAAGGCCCCCCCATTCCCCTGGAGGAGAACGAAAGGAGAAATCAGGATGCCAGAGATGAGGTCACTGTCTGCCAAACCGAAGGAAAGGGTGGAAAATCCAATAAGACAAATGCCTGGGACACCACTGACGCAGGAAAGGTGGGAGCATGACAAAGCCAGTGCCGGAAGCAACAGCAAGGCCTGCTGAGCGTGGCGCGCACAGCGGGTATTTACATGCGGTCCATGGGCCGGTAGTGGAGGAACAGGATCCTTGGGGGGTGGTCTGTACAGTGTCACCAGGGATGCTCACCTCCAGGGCTGAGTTCACGGTGCTCTGTTGTCCTAGTGCTGACCTACCTGCCAATCTCCTTAATTTTCCCAACAGGTACTCTGTCACCTGGAGCCTTTCTCTCTCCAGTGACCTGCTATAATTTAGCTTCCACTGGTAGGACTTTGGTGCCCGAGTGCCAAGTAGTTAAAGAGAAGTTTCATTGGTGTGAGGCCTGGAGTTCTCCTCCTCTAGCAGAGCTATTCTTTGCTTGAGCATCCTTACTTGGGTCTCATGTCTCTCCACCATGGCCATCATCTGAGACTCCAGCTTCTTGAGTTTGTTTTGATGCTTCTTCTTTGCTTTCTCATAGGCAGCCACCAGGTTGCTATGTGGGAGCAGAAGGGAATGAGATTGAAGATTCACCTGAGATAGCACTGAGACAGACACACACACTCTCTTGTCCACTGGGTAGCCAGGTCCAGTCAGCACTGCTCCGAAATACAGGTCACTCAGCCTCTCAGTAAGAATCTGAAGTCAAGTGGTTAGTATTTCAGTGCTCATGGCCATGCATCTCTTGGTTTAACCATGACGCATTCAGCTCAACTGCTAGAGGCTTGTCACTAATGCATTACAAAGATTTAAACCAACAATCCAAACTAGCCACATCCAAAATAAGCAGAAAGAGAGCTGAAGTCCAGAAATCTGTCATTTAAATACAAATACTGTGTCTGTCTGTCTGTTCATGGCTCCCTGCAACAAACGGTCAAGTGTTCACTACAGGAAAGAGTGCCTCACTGTAGTGTAGACCTCTTAGCTCACCTGGGACGAGGGCAGAGTGGCTGGACAACTTCCTGTTATTCTGTGGACTGGTGGGATTCAGAGCACTCAGGCCAGAAAGCTAACGCCAGCCAGACAAGAATAAAATACAGGCCCCTGTGAACTGTCCCCGCTGGAAGCCCGTGAAGAGAGGGCAGGTTAAGCCCAGGGCTAGGTAAGTCCCGGTGCCCTCTGCCTCCAAAGCAGCACCCCATGTGCATTCAGATTCGCCTGAGCCTTTTTTGGGGAGGGAGGTGTGTGAGGTCCTGTATTTTCTCCCTACAGTGGAGGCTGATTTCCTTGATCTATTTCAAAACAAACTGTTGCCAGGAGAAGCAGTTGTGAGGTTCTAGCTGTCTTCTATTAAACCAGCTACTAGCAATGTATAAATTGTAAAACAGTACCATTCTATTTTTTGTAAAATAAGTTACAGTTTAAATAAAGGTCGCGTGTATTACAGGTAAATAATGTATATTTTTAAGTAAATGAATTAATAAAAACTTGCAAAAAATTGTGTTTTTGTTTCTAAAATGAAAAACGTCATTAGTTTTTTTATGAGTATAAAGGGGTCCTGAGCCCAAAAAGTTTGAGACTGCTGTCTCAGAGCAACGCTTCCTAAAATGTTCCCACCAGACAGTAAATGTTACTCAAATAAAAGGTCTGGGGCCAATTTTGTTTGGAAAACATTGGCATAAACACAAATAGGTTTTTAAAAAATTGCATGCTTTCCCAGAACTTTACTGTATGGAGTAAGAAGGGAAAGACCACACACTGTGCGGCATGTCCCAGACTCTTGGCTCAAGGCCGTGTCTTTACCCAGCATTTCTCAGGTTTCTGTGGGCAGTGGGACGTTGTGCCATAGGGAAGACCAGGCTCTAAGAGGGCAGGGAAGGACTTTTCCATTCCCAAGTGTGGCTCCCAGTAATTATGGAACCATTCTCCCTGGTGTGAGTTCACAAGCAAGGGGGCTTACCTGTTGGCTCTCTTCAGGTCATTCACAAACTCCGCTGATTGCTGGTGGCGGATTTCACTGCTCTTGGTGAGTCTTTCCAAGGCACTCACCAACTCCTGAACTCTGGACTTCAACTTCTTTTCTCTGTCATGGAGAGAGCATGCCAAGAGTAACTTGAGATGATGATGGAGGTGGCTAGTACTCTGGCAGTGTTTAGCCTGCCAAGTCCACAGGTGGTACGAAAAGGAAGATAGTACTAGAGGGTGCAAGAGTTCCCTTTCCCCTCACTGCAGCCTCCAACCTCCCTCTGCACTCCTGAAGGCCGGTGTGAGCCTGCTTCCTTTAATGGTAAGTCCCTTCCAGATGGAGAAACTGAGCTAATCTAGAAATTCCCTGTCCCAGTCTCTACACTCTTCTTTTTCCAAGTGTCCTAAGCATAACCCTAACCTTTCGGATTCAAGAACAGAAACCTCTGCTCTGGGCAGCCTGCCATGGACAAATCCTGACTCATTGAAATCATCATGATCCTACCTTGCAAAACAAAAAGGTGGAGTAGAATTAGTGTTACTCTCATTTCCAAGGTCCTTGTTTCCCTTGAAAATATTTAGGTTATGTTTGCATTTTCATTGGACTCCCCATTTAAGTTAACTGCCTCTGTTAGCGTCCTTGCATGGTGTCACACTTCACATCTGCTATGACTTGGTTCATCTATTTGAACTTCAGGCTCCCCACTGACATGCAGGCCCTGGGATTGCAAGGATCTCACTTGGTTTGGTTCCCCATGTGTCCCCAGGACTGAGCACCACAGGAGGGGTGGGAGGGTGAGCAGTTCCTCAGCGACAATGGTTAAAACCCCTTCAGAACAAAGGTATTGGTTCCCTGGAACAAACCAAGAAACCAGAATTTATGGAAGAAAGTCCTAGAAAGATCACTCCGAGTGTGAGGAATGTGAATTAGCACAATCATTTTGGAATGCAACTTGGCAGTATCTAGCAAAATGGAAAATGAACACATTCCTTGGCTAAGCAACTTGATTTCTAGGATTTTTTTCTTAAGAGGTAGTGTAGGCGCTGAAAGACAAGATCACAGCTGCATTCACTCAAGCATCCTATATAATAAAGCCTAATATGCTAAGTGTCTAGTTGGCTATTCAGCCAATCAAAGCATAATATGCTAATGATATGTTAAGGCTGCTCAACCACTTGCTATGACGTGCACTGACCACTAGGGGGTAGATGCTCTGACTGGTAGGTTAGCTTGCTGCTGGGGTCCAGCCGATGGGGACTGAGCAAGACAGGCTAGACACACCTTGAGCCCTCCCACAGTCCCTCCTTGGCTGGCCAACCTCTCCTGTCTCCCTGGACCTGATGGTACACTGTTGGGGTCCCTCAGCCTGGCCTGTGCCCTCATAATCTGGGACCCCTTGAGGGATGTTGGAGAGCGGTTTTGGTCCAATCCCACAGGCGAGGCCAAGAGACCTCACTGGTGCACCAATTCATGCACTGGGCCTCTAGTTCGCTATAACAGTTTAGAGGGGTGGGTGGAGGGGTGGGTAGCCAGGTTAGGGTATGTCTACCATTCTGCAACCTAAAAAAGTGCAGATGGAAATGCATTAGCATGGTGTCTGATAAATTGTCAAGTAAAAAGGAAGAGTTCTATTGGATGCCATTTTTGCAGAAACACTAAAAATCTGATATAGATCAGGTTATATAAATCTGATATAACCCTCAGCAAAGGTTAATGCACATAAAAAGGATGACAGAAGGCTTTCATAGTCTACTCATGCATTGCTTAGAATTTTTACAACTCGTGCTTTTGTCAAATATGTGAGCTCTCTGCTTCCTGTAGGAGGGGCAGGGAGGTAACCTGGGGGGAGGACTCAGGAGATGGTTCAGTGGCTCTCTAATCTGTTCCTGCCTTCAGGGAGTCAAGCTTCCCAAACAGTTAACAGAGGAATTGCAACACCAAACTCCAGCCTGCTTTGTGAGGGAGGTTGAAGGGGAAAGATCTTTCAAAGCAAAGCCTAGCCACCAGGCCCTCCTTGTTCCCCAGAGAGGCCTCCCTACCACCAAGGATCCCTGCAGAGTCTTGCAGCAAAGTGGGTCCCACCTGCTGGGGAAGGTGTGTTTCTCGGGCCCTAGAAGCCACCAGGAAAATTGGTTGCAATTCCTACAGGAATCTGAGAGTGGCACTATTTCCTACCAGAAGGGTGACCGGTGTGTAGGAAGGATGTCTGTCTCCTTCCTTCCCTCCTTTACTGTTCTCCTTAGCCTTCCCGCAAGGCTGAGGAAGGGTAGGAGAACACAAATGACCTCCCCCCTCCCATTTCCCTCTGACTAAAGTAATTAAAATAATTTTTTTAAAATAGAAAAGTGTTATTTCTCCTGCATTTTGTTACTGTTTTCCTTTCCATTCTAACAATGCAATAGTGCAAATGAAAAAAAAACACACAACTATGACAATTAAAAATGTCCCCATGAACTCAATAAATTCACAACAAAAAAATCTGCTAAGAGCAATACCCTCCCCCCCGTTCATATCCTTGCCCCACCCCGCATACAGGGAGAATATGGGACCCCCAACAAAACAAAGGGCTTCCTTCCCTGGTGCCCACGTCGCTGAGACACCAGAACCCAGCGAGGCCCTCACAGAGCCTGCCCAACGGTGAGGTGGAGGGGAGCCATTGCCAGGAGCTGAGAACTGCCTAGAAGAGCTCCCTAGGCCTCGGGGGGGAGGGAACTGCTCCTGTGAACTACAGGACAGTAGGATGCCGGTTATTTAAAGGTACAAAGGGAGGCTCACCCTCATGTTTAAACCTCAAATGCGGGCTACTCTGTTTTCCTCTGAGTGAGGCAGGAGCCTGCAGTAAACGTCCTGTCCCCGTGGCTGCTCATTTGGACGGAAACAAACACTAAACTACTGAGACAGAACAGCTCCAGACCCACAGACATGTGGTGAGTCCAAAATGGGATGTGCAGAAAATACAAAATCCACTCTGGGATTTGAAGATTTAATACGGGGGGAAAAAAAGGACTAAAATATTGCAATAATTTAAAAAATACTGATTACATGTTGAAATGGTAGTATTTTGGATATGCTGGGCTGTTATTAAAGCTAACTTCACCATTTTCTTAGTGTGGCTATTGGAAAACTCACAATTACACCCGTCCAGAGTGGCTGGGAGTGACTTACTAAGTTCCAGAGCACCATTGACAGTTTACAGTACTGGGCGGGTCCCTGGATTCCGATGCAGTAGGTTTGGGCTGAGATCTAGGAATTGCAGCTTAATAAGTGCCCTTGATGATTCTTATTTTCAGGCACATCTGGGAAACTGGATGGGCCTGTGGATGGGCTGCATGTGGTCCTGGAACTCAGTCTAGACTAGAGGCATGACTACACGCACGGGCACACTGGCTATGGCGCGAAGTCCGGCCTTCCTCGGATTCTCGAGGACAACCCGAGGAGGAGCCAGAAGCTTGCTGGTCCCAAGTTGCTTTGGAACCTCAACCATTCACGTCCAGTTCTGTCTGGTTTCTAGTTAGAATCTGCTTGGCCTTCAGCTAAGGAAGAATTTGTTGAGTTTGTCCAGATAAGGTAACAACCCCCAAAAGAGCACTTCCAAGACTCCACAAAGATGAGAAAGTAAAAATTAAACCCTGCATGCACATTTGCTCCCTCGATAATAATGCATTCATAAACCGTTTTCTCAAATGCCCAGGACTGTGTCATCCCGTCCTCACCCGTCCTTACTCCCAGTAGTGCAGGCACGCAGGACACATGCTGTATCACCACGTACAGACAGTCCCGGACCACACTGTTACCAGGCGCACCACGTCATCAGCATGCACGTGGATTTCAGTTACAGGTGTTCCCGCTCCACCAAAAATGAAGGTTATTTCTGATCACAAAAGGTCCTATTAATCTTACTCTAACCACACAGCAAGGGAGGTGCTTCTCTCTCTTTTTAGTTGAAACATGATTTTAGGCAGTGGCACATACACAGAGCATGCGAGGCAGACTCCTGGTGGCAGTTTGCAGGTGAGGAGAAAAACGAGGTGACCTGCCAGGGAAGTGAGCTGGGCAGGAGACCCAGCCACGCAGGCCTCTGCCATTGTGCCAGGGGAGCCGGGAGCGGAGCTCTGAGCAATCAGGGAGGAGGTGGCACTCTCCCTGAAATAAAAAGCCAGCCGCTCTCCTTTAATCACAAAGTCCAAACGAGCAGCTGGGGGAGTGGCCAGGGCCAGAGCCCGGGCTTGATGAGGTAGTGAGTGGCTCTGCAGCCACCAGGAACCCCTCCGAGTCACTGTAATCAGAGCAGACCGCAGGGAGTCACAGCCATGCCTCCACAAGGCCTGCAGTTCCTCAGCAGTTGCTCATTACGCGGAGTTAGTCACGGATTGTCTGCGTGGGCAGTTCCTCTGTTCCTCACCTTCCTGGTACCCGTGAGCAGGGCTCCATCTCCACCGAAGCTGCTCACAAGGTGACCGATGATCTTGGCGCTGCCACACGCCAAGTCTCCACTGTCCTGAACTCTCAGCACGGCTTTCCTCCGGAGTATCCGGGTTTTGCCTGTGTCGCTGCGGTTCCCCAGGTTCCTGCACTGACTCCTTGCTCTCTGCTCCCACCCTAAGTACTCAGCGTATTGAAGACTTGGGCTTGGACCCTATTTTGTAGCATACTGTTTCTCCTCCCCATTCCCATTTATTTTTCTAAAAACATGCCAAACACCTCTACATCTTTATCTCTGGACTTGTCTTTTTGACATCTCTACTTCACAGGCATCTTCAATGTAACATGTCTAAGGTGGGACTTCGGAGATGCTCTCGGAAACCATCCTTGCTCCCTTGCTAGCAAAGGGCAACACCCTTCGCCCACCTGCTGACACCTGTCTTGAGTCAGCTGTCGCTCCCCCCTTTGCCCGGACCTCCTCATCCATTCAACGGTAAACCCCACCTACCAAAACTCCATTCATGCCACAGCCGGCCCGGGGCCATCACTTCTCACCGAGTGACCACAGAGCCTACCAATAGTTGCTTGCTGCCCCTTTGCACTCTGATCTGGTTTTCACAGAGCACCCAGAACTTTTTAATATGACAGCTGCCTTTCCGTGCCTTCTGCCTGCAGTTGGGATGAAGTCTATGGTCTTTGATCTATAAGGTCCTATATGACCCTACCTCCTGCCTACCCAGGTTTTGGCATCCTCTCCCCCTTGCATGCCAGAATGCAGTCAATCCCTAACACACTGAGCTGTTTCTCTCTGCTTGGAACGTATTTCCTCCATTCAGCTGCTCTTCTTCCTCATCTCAGCTTAAAGGTCATCTCCGAGAAGCCCACCCACCTAAGCAAATGTCTCAGAGTCGTAACATCAGAGCCCCTTGTCATTGCTTCCAAATTATTCATTGTAATCTATTATTTAATATTTTGGAAACAAACTCAAGAGGAAGAAACAAATAAGTGGAATCATATAACATGCTCACACACAGCGTGATGATGTCTTGAATCTGGATGCCCGGAGCCCACAGATTCCTTTTTTATGGAAGAAATGTTTCCCTCAACTGACTTCAACCACTAGCTCAGTGATTTAATTCCTTCAAAGAGGGTGTTAGTTTCCACTTGATTTTTAAAAATAAAAACATCCTCAAGCCTTAGTTATCACTCAGGTGTCTGTGTTACATAAACTCATGAAATGATTATTCCACTTTTTGAGCTCCATTTACCACATAATCATGTTACTGCTCGTTTCCCTGTAGCCCTGTGGGTTCTGTCTTGGCTCCATCTTAACTGGGTCCTGATTAGAAGAAATCCATGCTAACCAGCTTAAGGCTGGTTCCTGGAAACCCGTTCGTTGTGCTGACCGATGTCTGTATGGTGTCAGCAGAACCTGCACCCTCCTGTGCCCGCAAATGCCCCTGAGGTCTGGGAAATGTAAGAAATGAAGGGGCTTAGCGTACGGACACCATGTCCACACGGCCCCCCGTGGGAAGCAGGCAGCGGGTCTGCCCCCCCTGCTGCTGGCACAGGGAGCTGCCGATGGGCTGAGAGAGTTCTCCCGGGAAGCTTCTCTCTCCACCTCAAGCCAAGCAGTTCCAATGGAACCGCATGGCCAGAGGCACTGGCAGCATAAAACCTGGGCTGGTGCACGTTGCAAGGAAAGACGGAAGGCACGGGGAGTGGGGGTAATGAAGTTCCCACGGGCAGCCCTCCTGCCGCCCACTCTCGGCCTGGAGGCCACGCTGTGAACAGCAGCCCGCTGGGCCGGGACAGCAGGCTGTGCCCTGTAGCTGTTCCTCCCTGTTGCCCCAAACCCCAGAAAGGATGGGAAATGTGTTTTTAAAAAATCCCCAAACATGTTAGAAAGGCGTGTTCTTTGTATACCAGAGAGGACGAGCATCCATAGGAAAAAAGGCAAGGAAGATGCATTCTCCTCGGAAAAGGAAACCGCACGCAGACGGCGAACAGAGGGCGGTGCTGGCAGCAGGGTGGTGGGGGGCAGGGACCGGGGTCAGAGGTGCCGCCCAAGGAGCTGCTGGGGCCCCAAGGACGTGAGCTTGTGAACCAACCCCAAGCGAGTCCCCGAACTCAGCTCCCAGGAGAAGGTGCTGTGAGGAGACGGTCAGCACAGCAGGCGGAGCAGCCTTTAGCAGCAGCACAGCCATCTCCTGGGCGAGGACCGCACAGCGCTGGGGAGATGACAGACGTCGTCACCAGGACGCCCAGCGCTGACCTAACGGGCCTCTGATGGGAAGGAGCGGCCACGTGGAGGCAGCATTCCCGCCGAAGCTGCACACGGGCCAACATGCCCATGTCCACCGTCCCACTGTCACCGTCCTGAAGGTTCCCGCCATGGCAACAACACAACAGAGAAGCAGGGACGGGATGCTCTCCCTTCGCAGGCGAAGCCTGCACGCTCGCCCGCCACTCCCCCTCTGCGAGGCCGGGGCCCATGTGGCTCTCCGTCTCACCGGCAGGGACGGACAGACGGAGGCCCCTCACTACAGGGACGGCAGGCTTCGTCCCCGAAATAAAGCTCAGCTTGTGAGCCAAACCCCACAGTGACGGAGCGGAAGCTCTGCCTTCCTAAGCCCGGATGCTGGCCTGAGCAGCAAGAGAGAGGATAGGGCTGTGCTCCCAGAATCAGCTGCTCGTGGGGGTCCCGGGCAGGTGCTTACCGGCGGATGGCGCTGGCGAACTCTGCGGCCAGCTCGCTGTCGCTGTACGTGGTCCTGAGCTCGGCCAGGGAGAGAGCGGGGGAGGCAGCGTCAGCACACTCCTGAGAACAGCAAGCAGTGCCTGTTAGTCCCGGAGCCAACGGCAGGCGGCAATTCTGCCCTCGGTGGCCCTGACCTCCGACCTCCGACCCCTCCCCGTGGGCTCCCTGGGAGCCAGGCGCTGGTCTAAGTGGCCACACGCATCTCCTCTCCCTGACTCATCATGATGACCCTGAGGTAGGTGCTGACATGATCCCCGTGCTACCCAGGAGGGAACGATGGCTGAGGTCACACTGCCCCCAGTCTCCAGCCATGACAGGGAGGACTGAGGATCCAAACCCAGACTGGGGCTGCCGATCAGGGCTCTTCACCCCTGAGCCAGCCTCTCCTCCTCAGGGAGACAAGTGGGGGGCAGCAGGTGAGAATCCTCCCCCAGCCTCACTTCTCCTGTCTTCTCCACCGTGAGGGGCTTCAGCGAGGGCAGTGCCGTCACCTCGGAAACCCAGAGAGGAGGGCACCCTCCCATGTGGTAGCATTAGACCGGGTCACAGGCATCTCCAAGCCAAACGAACTCCCACATCCCACACTGAGCCACACTGCTCCTCCAGCAGCGTCACACCGGCCCGCGGGCTCTGACAGAGGCCTGGGAGGGCACTCCCTGATGGCTGGCTCAGCAGACTGTTACTGAGCACCTCACAGCCCAGGCTGGAGAGGAAAGCATAGCGCTGCAGCTGCTTGTGTGCCCAGTGTAAGCAGAGACATGGCGGTGGGATGTGAATTTGGTGCTGGAAATCCAGACAACGGGAGGGCTCTGTGTCTCCCTCAGCCCTCGGATACAGAAATGCCACCACATCCAGGGGGTCCCCTCCCTCTGCCTGGCTCTCCCCCTGCACGGCTCTCCCTCTCTCCGCTCCCTCTCACTGTCCTGCAGACACAGCCCCCCCATCCCGACCCGCCCCCCCGCCCCCCCACCAGCCATGGATGCTGGGAGGTCCCAGCAGCCTCCCTTTTTGTATATCAGCTCCTGATGATGTGAACATTTCCTAAGCCTCCTAAAGACCCGGGCAGCTTTGTCTCGCCCGAGGCCTCTCCCTGAACATGCGCGGGGGCATAGTTGCAGAGAAACAGGAAGTGTAAAGAAAGACCTGATGCAACGTAGGTGAGACTTGGTTCCAGCTTGTTGTTGGAGGGGAGTCTTAAAACAGGGACCCCTGTCCTATGGAGCGAGAGTGCATGTCCTGGACCCACATCAGTCTTGCCACCTGTTTTTATAAGGCCCGCAGGCTAAGAATTGTTTTGTTTTTAAAATCATGCAAAAAGATTTAGAAAGCATTTTGTGATGTGTAGAATTTGTACGAAATTCACATTTCAGTGTCCGTAAGTGAAGTGTTAGCAGAACCCTGCCACACCGGTTGGCGCCCACAGCCTCTGCCTTCACACTGCCGTTCATTCCTCGGTGGCCACGCTAGGAGGTGCAGCCGAGTCTGTAGGGCTCAAACACCCTATCAACAGGGGTCGGCAAACTCATTAGTTAACAGAGCCAAATATCAACAGTACAACAATTGAAATTTCTTTGGAGAGCCAATTTTTTAAAACTTAAACTTCCTCTAACACCACTTCTTCAAAATAGACTCGCCCAGGCCGTATTTTGTGGAAGAGCCAGACTCAAGGGGCCAAAGAGCCGCATGTGGCTCGCGAGCTGTGGTTTGTCGACCACGGCCCTAACAGATTGGCTCTGACTCCTTACAGTTCCTCAACCCTAGCACTGGAAAGTCTGCTTCATCCACCAACGACAAGGAAAATGAACAGCCCAGAAGGGAGGTTTTATTGAAACGGTAAATGGTTCCAATATTTGAAGGACAAGAGAATCAGCTTATACTCTTAATTTCATTACCTGAACAACCCAAGATACTTTTCTAAGGCTCCTTACTCTAATGTTAAAAAAAATAAAAAATAAAAATCATCATCTGGCCTTTTCCATCAAAGAGACTTCTGTGCTTTGAAGCCATTCCACAAAACAGTGCTTCCCTGAGTCAAAATACCGGGGAGGAGGGAGAAGGCTCCGAGGGCTTCTGGCCCGACCCCAGAGCCGTTCCCACCACACCCTGAGGGCTCACAACTGGGCTCTGTCTCTGAGCTCTGTCCCCAGGTGACTGCTAATAGCCCGGGCTGCACAGAGATCACCGGGAGGCCTGGAACAGGAAACCCGGCCCCCGCCGGGACTGCGCCATAAAACAGTTCCGCAGGCCCTGCCCGCAGGCCCTGCCCGCTGGGGCAGCGGGTTGCAGGGTGCGCTCCAAAGCAAGGCGACCTGCCCCAAGCCCACGGGGTGTCACCCCCGAGCAAACCCTCCAGTGACTCCTCACTGTCCTGGGAGGGCACAGCGGCCAGGTCTGCAGCCAACGTGTCCATCCCATCCCCTCCCCTCCGGGCACTCCCCTCTGGGCATTCCATCGCCTGGAGCGGACTTGCTCTCCCCCCACCCTCTCCATCCCACTCTCCACAGGGTCTCAGCTCAGGAAACTGGTCCCGACCCCACACCCGATGCTGCGTCTGGGCTGCGGCCTCGTGGGAGTGATCCTGGCACTCCGGACATCTTGTCACTGTGCTAGGATCCTCTATTTGCCCCGCAGTGTCCCGTCCGTCCCCCCCCCCCCCCCCCCCCCCGAGTATAAACCTGGAACTGCCCCCAGCGCCTGGCCAGGACCAAGTCACAATTTGTCAAACGAATGGATAACTGAGGCGGCTGGGGTCCCGGCAGAGCTGGCCCAGCGGGAGCCACGTATGGATGCCCTGGCTCCCGAGGAGGGAGGGGAGGGCAGAGGGCAGCTGTGGCGCTTGGCGTAGCCGCTCCGAAGTCTTAGCTGGTTGGGGGGTGGCAGTTCACTGCCTCATGGCATCCGCAAGTGGCTTCGGTCCCAGGGGCACGACCCGCCCTCTAACCCCCCAACATGCGGGCTGTGAGAAGCCGCTGCTCCTTAGACCAGCAGTCAGCATGTGCCCATGAGTCTTGGGCCCGAAACAAAGCGAGGGCAAGAGAAGCTGGCATTCACTAGGCAGCTAGAATGGCTGGCAGGTCCTATGCCAGTAAGGAGAGTGCGTGGGCAGTGAGTGGTGGGAGGTGGGTGGGAAGTGAGGCCTGAGCCTGGGGGGCCCGAGCCCCCGGGCCCTACCTTGCCGGACTTGTCCTTGCCGCCGCTGCTGGTGGAGCTGAGGGACCGCATGCGCTGCTCCTTGTGCTCCTCCACCTCGGACTTGAGGTGCTCGATGTGCACCAGGTAGGCCTGCTCCTGGGCCTCCCGGGTGCTCAGCTTCAGCTCCAGGGCCTTCTTCTCCTTCTCCAGCAGGTAGAGCTGGGCCTTCAGCTCCGCCATCTCCTCCTGCCGAGGACACAGAGTGGGGAGGCAGGTGAGCGAGGTCTGCGGCTACCGGCAAGGCCCTGCGGTAGCTATTCCCTGAGGGACAAGAGCGGGCAGGGCTGCCCTGCAGACAAACCCCGCGCTGCCCCCTGTGGGCCAGAATTGAGATGCGTGAACAGAAGACCCAGGCAGGCAGGTCTGTCCCCCTGAGGAGAAACGCTCTAAGCTGCAGCCCCTGCACCTGCGCAGGGCTCCGCTGCCTGGGTGGGGACCAGTCTTCCAGTGTGGGCAGACGAAGTGTCGTCGGACAGAGAGGTTACACAGGAGGGTCGCCCACACAGGCTAAGGTGTGCGCTGCCCTTTACCGAGGCACCATCCACAGATTTGCTCACCCCTGAGGGCAACCTTGGTGCCCGGGACCTGAGTCAGACAGGAAGGGAATGCCCCCGGCAACGGTATCGCCCCCAGAGGAAAGCAACAGAAACAGCGTCCCTTACAGGTGACTCACTGAGGAGTGACTTCTCCAAGTGTCTTAGAGAACCCTGAGTAGAACTTTTGTGGAGAATTAAGCATGACTCCAAAAGGGGACAATGCCGTGCTGGGACCAAGAGCCCGGCCACAATGGTAATCAGCCGTGTTTGGTGGGCACGCAACACCGTTCAGATGCTCACTCAAAGGGCGTCATTTAACCCTTCCCACCACGGTATGAGTCTCTCCATTTACGGATGGGATGAGGAGGCACGTAGAGGGAGGACCCCCACGGGGTGCACTGTGGGCCAGAGCGCGAAGCCAGGCCATCTGCTCCGAACCCAGGCTCCTGGCCATGAAGCTCCAGCCCGTGCCCACCATCACATGACCCCAGGCTCCCAGCTGCCTCCGTGACCTTACGTAAGGGGCGTCTTGCAGGGCTGAGTCACTGTCTTGTCAGGGATTCGCCATGGTCACTGACTCGAGTCACCGTGGAGTTGCCCTCACCCAAGGTGACAAGCCACAGGCCTGGTGTGCTGCCTGGACACACCAGCCCCGGGGGAAACCAGAGGGCACCCATCACAGCGTGTGACGCCCAGGACCCGAGCCATCAGACATGGAGGAGGCCATGTGCTCAGCGACTACTCAAGAGGAGATGCCAAACCTTCCCTAAGATGAGACACGAGACCAGAACAAAGGGTTTTCACACACGGAGCCCTTCTTTTGCCCAAAGCAGCAGGACCTGAAGGGCCTGGGAGCTCCGCACACTGAGCTAACGCGGACAGTCAGGTCCACACACACGTGATGGCTGCTTGGAAGGAGGAAAGGCGGTTGCCAGCAGCGGGAGAGGAAAGGCCTGCGGGGACAGGTAAGGCGGCCACTGTGCGGGCAACAGAGGCTCAGCCCGGATGGGGCCGGGACCTGGGCAGAGCCAGGACGGAGACTTGACGTGCCAGGACTCAGAGGGCGACCTAGAATCGGAGACGAGGAAGTTCCTTTTCCAGAGACTTGGCAGGAAAGCTGGCCATTGCTCTGGCTCTGGGTGTTGTGATCTTAGCAGCGTTCAAACGGCTCCCATCCAAGTTCCGCCCATGGCCTTGCCCTGCTCGCTGGCCTCAGAGGCTGCTCCAGCCTGCAGGGGTCCGAGGTGGCTTCTCCTGGGGAACCAGGAGACCAACTCACCCCTCCAGGAACACGCGGGCCCAAGGGAGAGAGCCCCTGGCGCTGGAGTTGTCTGCCCTTATCTACAATGAGGTGCTGGAGTTCCCTGGGGAGAGGCTTCTGAGCAGGAACAGTGACTCCGCCTCCTTAGCTGACCTGTCTCAGGGGCCTTTCTCTCCTCCTCCCGATGACAGTGGAGTCAAAGGGAGCCGAGTTCTCGAACCCGCCCCCGCCCCCATACCTTCATGGCCATCAGCTCCTGCATCAGCACCGCATTCTCCAGGTCCAGCCGCTGGCTGTCTCCCCGGGGCTTGACGTCGTAGCTGAGAGGGTCGATGTGGATGCTCTCCAGCTCCAGCATGGTCAGCTTCACCGCCGCCCGGTCGTTCTTGAGCTGCTGGATGTAGTCCTTCAGCCTCTGCTCGTCCTCCTTCGTGAACTCCGTGTCACAGCTGCTGGCCGTGGAGCTGGTCGTGCTGAGAAGACAGACAAAGAGAAGCCATCGCATTTCCAAGTCACCGCTCCCGGGTGCTTTCTCCTCGCTCTTCTCCACACCCCGTCTCCCCAACAGTATTTAGATGGCAGTCCAGGGGGAAAAGGCATAGTAAACTGGTACCACCTTTTAGGAAATGAATGTAAAGAATAACAGAAATAGTCACACCCCTTAGCCTAACAGTGCGGGCCCTAGGAGTGAAATCTAAGGAAGCAATTCCACAAAAGCAACAAGATACACACAAGCAAAAGTGTTTCATGGAACAGAGGGCTCAGCCAGGCGGGGAGGGCTTTTGTTTTGCCATCTCTGCGAAGGGTTTCCTGTCAGAGAGGAAGGGAAGGAGAAAAGAACAGAAGAGCTCTCGCACAGATCCTACACCCCCCTCCTCTCCCCCCAACCCCTTCCTCGCCTGACAGAAGCTGGGAGCTTTACAAGGCTTTTACCGGGGGAAAGTTGAATTTCAAGATAAGTGCCCCAGCCCCGCACCCCTCCGACTCTCCCCTCTCCCTTCCAGGATGCCAGCGGGAGCAGACCAGGCGGGGTTAATGACAATCCTGCTTTGTGCCCTGAATGCTCCACCGCGGAATATGATTATGACGATGGCGGGAGGGAGGCCACTGGCCTTTCCTCCGGCCTCCTGCAGGCAAAGGCTGCCGGTCTCTGAGGGCTGGCTGCCGGCGCTGGGCAGGGGTTAAGTCATCCATTAACTCTCCGCCCGAACGCTGGGTGATCTCAGTAGTTAAGAGGGAATAAATCACTCTGTAGGGCGGGAGGCGGTCCGTGATCTCCGAGAGGAAAGGGCTGAGATGAAGACCCAGCCGCCTAAGCATGGGGAGCGGCTTTGGTTTGCGAGGAGCTGGGCCAGGCCAGAGGGGGTGTCCTCCCTGTGATGCTCCGCTGGCGCCTGTTGGGCTGGCTTCACCCTGTGGCCAGCCCTGCACCCGGTGCCCTGCGGCCGGGGACCCTGCATGGACCAGGCTGGGCACGCGGCCCTTCTGCCTGCCTGGCCAAGCAGGACGTGGGTGTGGGTGGGTTCGAGCCACTGTAGAGTTCAATGGTCCTCTCTGCTCCTCTCCACCATGTCTCATCCTTGTGCCCAAGACTAAACTCCCTGGCCTGCTTTTAAGAAGAAAAATCATTTTTTGGAGGGCTTCCTCGGCTTGTCTTGGCAAAAAGCTAGAAGGGCGTCTCCTTTGCCTGGAACACCAGGGATGTGTTTTTCCTGAAGTTTTATCACTTTACCGGCCCCACGTGAGGAGCAGCTTGTTTCCAGAAGGAAAGTGCCACGAGACTGGCCTTCTGTTTTGCTAAACACTCAAACTGCATTTGGAGGAAGGGGTTGGCCCACGTGACGTGTGGCCACATCAGCCACTCCTAAGTGGCTCTGGTCTTCCGAGAAGGCTGGACCTTGTCAACTGCCTGTGTGTCTCTCTCTCTCTCTCTCCCCAATTCTTGGTCACAAAGGACTAAAAGCACTAAGCACCATCCAAACTGTGTTCGCAACCCAAGCATGTGCCCTTGATCAGAACTGAACCCGTGACTCTTGAGTCCTCAGGCCGATGCTCTATACACTGAGCCAAACTGCCTAGGGCTGTAATCCCTGGTGTTATTTTTACAATGAGCATTTAATTATTTTGAAATCAGGAAGTTAGGTCTTAAAGAAAAGAAAAAAAAGCATTTCAGGTGTCTACCTCGTTTTCCTAGGACCTAACAGATAAGTGAGCAGGTGTCTGAGCAGGAGCATGGTGGGGAATGGTCTGAGCAGGACTCGGGGATTTCCAAACACTTTCGAGCATGACCCCAAGGCTTCCAGTGAACTCTTCTGAGACTTGGATGTTTCTCAGAAACACGTAAGGGTGACGATGATGGCAGCCAGGTCTGGTCCGGCTCTTATTCCCCGAAGCTTGCTGCTGATGGTGGCACGGGCCTGTCCTAACCGGAGAGTTGCTTCAGTCCCGTTCATACTTTTCAGTGGGCATGATTCTCGTCCCCAAGGAGCCTTCATCTTAATCCAGGCGAGCTCAGAGGGCGAGCGAGGGCTGGGCATCCTGAGCTCCACTGCCCTCCATTTCAGTTTCAGGGCACGCCCCGTGTGGTCAGCCAGGCGGCACCCTGGCTCCCACAGTGCCCAGGGCTCACCACAAGGCTGCGATCCCCATTCTCACACGGCTCGCCATGGTCCCCCACCTGACGGGGACAAAAGGGACTCAATTCTAGTCTCCGCGAGAGACCTGCTGAGGCTTATTCTGTCTGAGGCACACGTTCTTTTACAGATTGAGATAGATGACTCTGCTTCTATCAAAGGAACTGAAATTGTGATGCTTGACAGAAAGGGTGGGCTTCAGAATCCGCACTCCCAGCAGTTGAGTCCCTCTGCCTTTCTGCTGTGATAATGTTGACAAAGTGCTCCAGGCTACCAACAGAACCTCGTTACTGTCCATTAAGACGATGACACTTTGGGATGAGGCCAGGGCTCCTTTCCAGAGTCAAACAGCAGCGTTCCTGGGTTCCTGCCAACAGTCAATGGATGGGCTACCTGCCACTTTAAAAAATATGTATTTTTATTGATTTCAAGAAGGGAGAGGGAGGGAGAGAGAAAAGCATCAATGATGAGAGAGAATCATCGATCAGTTGCCTCCTGCACACCCCCTCCTGGGGATTGAGCCCGCAAACCTGTGCCCCGAATCGAACCATGACCTCCTGGTTTACATGTCAACGCTCAACCACTGAGCCACGCTGGTTGGGAGTTACCACTTTTTACTCTCCTCGCTGGTCACTACTCTGCTGCTCCTTTCCAAAAGCATGACCCTCTTGCCATCAGGAGCTGTCATGTGCTGCCAGGCAGGCCCAGTACTCAGCATTCCTTTCCTAAGACCCCCTGAGGAGCAGCTGACGGGTCCTCTGATTGGACTTCTCTACGCCAGTGGTTACGGTGGGGAGTGGGAATGTACGGAGCCACATGAAGCCCCAACCCAGAAAGCCCCTTTTCTTCCTTCCTTCCATAAACTGGACATGGGAGGATGTCTGAACCAGAATTGCCAGATTTACAAACAAAATGATCAGATAGAAGGGCTTGTGGTGACTGAGCCCATGTTCAGCATAAAGGTAGTCCAGTTGTGTGATGAACTGAGAATGTGGGGTGCATATGACAGCCGTGTGTGCGGTTCTCCTGTGTCCCCTCTGAGCTGCTCTGACGTGGGGGGTGTGGGAAGGTGAACTTCTAGGAAGAGCGGAGTGAGATCTGAGCTGAAGTCCTCTGTCCTTTGCTGGGAAGACCCACTGGTGACGGAAACTAGTTGGAGGGCCATTCTTTGGGGAGCTCACCCTCAGAAACAGGGGCTGTGTGCTGAATTGATCTTGACCTCTGAGATGTGTGATCTGAAAGTAAGTGTGTGAAAACTGCCTCAAAATCAAGGCTCATCCATGTCCCAGTATTTCTAACAGATTTTCAGAACCAGGATTTCCACCACATGAATGGTGAGAGTTCCCATTCCTGACTCCCAACTTGTCTCTGATTTGGATTAAAACAACGAAATTATTTTTGGGGTTGGGAGGTGTGAGCAAAAACCTGAGCTGCTGGGACAGCAGGCATTTCCTGTCAACCCAATTCTTCGGCTCACTAATTCAACAGCAAGATCGCTGACAAGATGAGAACCACATTCTCCTCTAAACGAACACGGGAATTAAGGATTGCACACATCTGGAAAAGCCATTAAGAAGATCATCTGCTTTCTGCGTTCAGACAGAAGAATCTGGTTTTTAGAAAGAAATAAATTATAATCTGAGCTTCCCTGAATAAGACAATTGTTGGTGGAGTTGAGAGAAAATGCGTCTCCTGTGCTGGTGGGCACCCGGCCAAGCGCCTCGCTGCGGATGTGCCCTTTCCCAAGGCCCCGGGGGCCGGGACAGGTGAGTGGATGCCGCGGGGTAGGTGACTGTCCTGCCGTGGGAAAGAGTCGGGCACCACGGAGACATCAGTATTTCTCCTTCGGCTCTTGAGAGTCAATCTATCCTCAGGTGGCTCTAGTCACTTGATCTGCAAGTACACACTGGGTTTTTGTGCATGTGTGTTTTTTTTTTTTTTAAAATAGTCTTATTGATTTCAGAGAGGAAGGGAAAGGGAGAGCGTCAGAAACACCAATGATGAGAGAAAATCATTGATTTGCTGCCTCCTGCACCTCCCTCCTCCCCCCCCCCGGGGACTGAGCCCACAACCCAGGCGTGTGCTCTCATCGGGAATTGAACTGTGACTTCCTGGTTCGACGCTCAACCACAGAGCCTCATCGGCAGGACAACGCTGTGTTTTGATATTCTGAGGTCCAACCTGGTAGAGTGGGAACACCACACGCTTGCTGCTGAAGCCCTGTTTTGGGCCCCGATTTCCCTCGCGGCTACCAGCCCTGTGACCTTGTCTGGGCAAGTCGCTTACACGTCTCTAAGCCCAGGTTTTTCCACCTGTGAAAATGGGGGTACGCTACCCCTCTTGTCTTTCCAGATTTAGTTATCACGTAAGAATTCCTAACAAACCCTAATTGGTTTGGCTCAGTGGATAGAGCGTCGGCCTGCGGACTGAAGGGTCCCAGGTTCGATTCCGGTCAGGGGCATGTGCCTTGGTTGGGGGCACATCCCCAGTGGGAGGTGTGCAGGAGGCAGCTGATCAATGTTTTTCTCTCTCATCTGTCCCTGTTTTCTGGCTCTCTGTCCCTCTCCCTTCCTTTCTGTAAAAAAATCAATAAAATATATTAAAAAAAAAGGATTCCTAACAAAGTACTTCCTAGACTGAGAACTGGCAAGGAGAGGGAAGGCATTCATGTTTTCAGGGCTTCGGTGGCAAGCAAGGAGAAGATCACTAGAAAAAGGTTTCATTCCGAAGTTCCATGGACGCCCCACCCGTCATCCAGAAGAGCCCAGAAGCCCCGGCAGGCTATGTGTGGCAGGTCTCCCCGCTGTCTGCCTCATCTTTTTCAAGTTCTCACCTGAGTTTTCTAGATGCACAGACCTGCACTCAGGCTCCTGACCAAGCATCCATTAAGCACGTGCTATGGCGATGGCGTCACCCCGAGACAAGAGGTGAGGCCGGGAGGCTGCTCTTCCCTGAGAGGAGCTCACAGAGGAGAGACTCGGGAGGAAGGGAGGGGGCGGGGCCTGGAGACCGTGCAGAGGTCCGGGCCTCAGGCGATTAGGGCTTATTTGCAACAAATAGCTGTCCCAAATGCTCCTGGGAAATCATCACTATAAAGAAAATGGAGAAGAGAAAAGCAAGACGAAACAGGAGAAAGAGCCCTGACAGGAAGGCCGGTGTGGGTGCCGGCCCTGCCACCTTTTTGAACAAATCACCCCTTCTCTCGGGCCTGCACTTCCCACAGCGAGAAGGCCCTTTCTGACCTCCCACTCTGACTCCCCTTGGAGGGAGCAGGCTGCATGCGGGAGAGAATCTGCCCTCTCCCATTGTTCCTCCCCCGCCCCCCAAGCCTGGCCACCATGTGCCATGCTCAGTGAGCAGATGACACACGGACACGGCCCCTCCCGGAGCCCGGAGGTACCTGGTGTGGCTGTTGGAGGACAGGCTCTCCCAGGGCTGCACGCTGCAGCCGGCCACGGCGAAGGCGCCCCCGCAGCTGCCGTCCAGCTTCATGAGTAGGGCCTTGGCCGCGTTCTCCGCCGTCTTCCTGCAGTCGTGGGCTCGCTTCAGCATCTGAGTGATGTTCTCGTCCCCCGACTGGTCTCCTGAGAGAAGCCCATGGATTAGTCAGCACAGGCCTGGGCACGACAAGCTGGGGACACGTCTGGGCAGAGGCGGCAGGGTGGGGAGGATGCCCGGACCCGGCTCTGCCACTCGGGAGCCAGGTAACTGGGCTGGAGCAAGAGGTCAGGAGTAGAGGCCACCAGCACCGAGTCAGGAAATGCTCTGCCCAGGAAAACACTGCACTGTTGCCCTAGTCCAGGTGTCGGCAACCTACTGCTCCAGAGCCGCATGCGGCTCTTTTGAAGCTTTGCCGCGGCTCCGACAACTTGCAAGCCTGTGTGAAAATGAAGGTAACGTCTTACAGCCCTGATGTGCTGACACTGTGCACTGAGGTTCAGGAGCAAAAATCCCATTAACCAGGTAAATTAAATATTTTAATTAGCTATTAATTTGCAAAAACATATTTTACATTGTTAAGTGAAAAAGTCCTTTTTTTCTTCAGATTGACAGCTAACTGCACCATCCGGTCTATAGCATTAAGGTAAGAAACAATATATGCAGTGTTATATTTGTTTTAAATGTCACAATGGTTTTGCAGCTCCCAGGTTTTTTTTTTTTCCTTTGAAAACGGGTCCAAGTGGCTCTTTATGTCTTAAAGGTTGCAGACCCCTGCCCTAGCCAGTTTGGGGACTACATTCAGCTCACAGACACAGGTGTCCTGGGTTCGACTCCAGTCAAGGGCATGCACCTTGGTTGCATGCTCAATTCAATCCCCGGCCCTGGTCAGAGCGCATGTGGGAGGTAACCAATCGATGTGCCTCTCTCACATTGATGTTTCCCTTCCACTCTTTCTAAAATTCAATGGAAAAACATGGCTGGTATGATATAGTGGTTGAGCACTGACTCATGAATCATGAAAGTCACAGTTCAATTCCTGGTCAGGACACATGCCTGGGTTTCAGGCTCAATCCCCAACAGAGGCTTGTAGGAAGCAGCTGATCAGTGGTTTTCTCCCATCATTGTTGTTTCTGTTCCTTTTTCCTTCTCCCTTCCCCTCTCTGAAATCAATAAAAAACATTTAAAAACAACCACCACAAAACCTGTCCTGCCCTGGCCAGTGTGGGTCGGTGGTTAGACAGGACGCGGACTCCGCCCGCGGAGAGCGGGGAGCAGATGCGGGCACGCACATCTGCAGGTAAGGTGCCCGGGCCCCCTCGGGCCATTTCTGACCACCTTTGTGCCTCTCTTCTCCCAAAATAACGTGTTTCCCAGCTCCTACCAAGTCACGCGGAAGCGTGGATGTAAGCCCAATGAAAGGTATCAGTCAAGGACAAAACGGTTTAAAACATTCCTCTGACACAAACGGGAAACAAGATGATTAATTCTCCCCCTCCCCCCTTTTTATTGATCGGTTTTCTTAATACATATATTTAAAAAAAAAAAAAACCTTGACAGCAGGCCAAGATCATTTTAGGATCTGTTTAATATGAGGAATAACGTTTTACGGTTCAGTTAAAAGACCCTGGAAAATGAGGTTTCTAATGGAAATGCTGGCAGAGTTTCTAGTTCTGGGCTGAGATGGTAACACTATTTAAAAAAAAAGAAACAGCAGAGAGAGGAGGGGAGGACGGCAGAGGCCTGCTGCCCCGCTGCGTAACGGGAAGCAGGAAATGAACACCAGGGTGCTTCCTTTCCTTCAGCCCGCTCAGGTTCCTGCCCACGTCAGAACCGTCAGAACCGAAGGAGGGAAACCATGTGGGTGTTCCCTGCAGAAGCTGCACCCCAGACCGGGGAGGGACCTGGCGGGCGGGCGGGGACACTCACTCCAGTTCCAGAGGTGCCCGGGGCGAGCTTTGCAAGGCGGTCCCGGAAGGACAAGCCCCGATGGCGCTCACAACTCCTGCCCCATAGGGAGGCTCGGCCTACCCACTCCGCCCGTCGCCGGAGACCCGGACACCCAGCTTTCTGTCCACGGCTGTTACTGCTCTGAAGCCGCTGCCATCATAGAGTGTGGGCTCCAGCCTCAGGGCTGCGGGGGGACCCTCTTTCCCGACCTCTCCTGCTGCCCACACACCAGTTCTACTGCAGACAATGGTTTCAGCCCATGCTGCTCATTAGGATGCCTTGCTGTGTCTTTTTCTGTTAAACTCCTACTAGTGACTCACATGGAGGACAGGAGTGGGGGCAGTGCAGGCCTGGAGGGGCAAAGAGGCTGAGGGGACACAGGGCCCTGGGGCGGGAGGGAGGCGGGCGTACACCTGTGCTCCCCCTCGGGGCAGAGCCGGGTGTTGCGCTCTGAGAGCGACAGCACAGGGTGGGGAACCATCTTCTGTGCTCCGGAGACGCCCGGGGACAGGTGGCGGGAACTCACGCTTCAGACACCCCGACAGAACAGGCCTGGAGAAAGGGCACAGCCACAGAGGCCGCGGTGGGCAGAGGCGGCGTGGGCACCAGAGGAAGCTGAACCTGGGCCTCCGCTCCGCCTGGGCCTCCTGTCAGCCCAGGAATGTTTCCTGGGAGGGCTTGTTTGTTTACCTCGTCTGCAATTGTTTCCACTCCAGTTCCCGCTGCATCCAACTAAACAACTCACTCAGTCACGAGGAAAAAAACGAAAAACACACTTGACAAGCAAATTTCAAATGTGTGTGCATGTGCGTGTGTGTGTGTGTGTGTGTGTGTGTGTGTGTGTGTGTCAGGGGGTGGGCTGCTCCAATGCCAGCAGCTGAGAGAGGGGCAGTGGGGCAGAAGAGGTGGGGGGGGGGATGAGGGAGAGGGGCGAGATCGGGCCACACTCACCAGGGGAGGAGCCCACGCCTGCCGCCCGGAACTGCCCCAGGATGAGGCTCTGCTCGGTCTCGGCCAGCGCCAGGAGGAGTTCGTAGGCTTCTATGCACTGCTCGCTGAAACAGAGCAGGGCATCTCAGCTTGGGCTGCGGGTGTCCATCCCCCCAACTCCCCTCCCCCCACCTCCCGGCTCCAGCCCTGCTCTCGGCTCCGTGTCCTGTCCGCGAGGGAACACCCTGGACGGAGCCCAGGCGTGCCCTGCTACGCTGTGCCTGCCTTTCACTGTAAACCAGGATCCAGAAAAAGACAAGAAACAATGCCTGTGGGAGAGGTCAGGTGGCTGCCCTTGGGGTGATCCACCGAGAGGGAAAGGTGACCCAACCCGTAGGGGGGTGTCCACACCCCGTTCGGTCCGGTAACACGGGCACCGGGTGGACGGCCCCCAGGACCACGGAAAAGACCCTGAGTCAGAGCAAACCTAGCTAAGTCACTCCCAGATTCCTGACCCTAAAAGCGGTGACATGGTAACAGTTATAGAATAATAGACAGCTGAGGTTATGCCCCAGAAAGGAGGCCATTTTGACCTAGTTCTGCACTATTCAGTACAGTAGCCACCAGCCACATGTGGCTATGGAAGAGAAACACGAAACAAAAAGTAAGCTGGGTGACAGTAGCCATATTTCACGTTGCACAGTCACATGTGCCTCCCAGTTCTACAGATACTTGTAAAATCGTCTCATGAAATATAAATTCTCTGACAAGAGTATGAGTTTGGATTTCTAAAAACAAAACCAAAAACATTAGTCTCTTGTCCTTCTGCCCATTATCATGGGCACACCAGGTAGAGGATGGAAAAGTGACCCCTTCTCATTGCCCCTGGTGACCCCCCAGGGAGCCACAGCCACAGGCCTCGGAGCACGTGGGCAGCGCCGAGTGGTCTGGGACAAGATGCCCGCGGAAGTCCACCCCTAAGTAGGTAACTGGTGAGCGTCTCCACGCTGAGTAGGGGGAAGACTGCTTAACTCAACAGACCCTGTTTTCTGATGACCCCGCCTTTCATCTTCCTTCGCTGAGCGATAGGAAAAGGGCCCCATCAGGAGCCCTGTGTGCTGGCACCCTCCTTCCCGGGTACAGAACCGGGGGAGGAGGGGGTGGAAGGCAGCCTGTGGGGCGGAGCGGCCTGGCTCGGCCTTAGCCACACGGCTCCCTGTTTGCTCCGGTGCGCCTGTGAGCGAGTGCGCCTGCTCTCTTGTATATCTTCGTTTGATTTTGTTTCCTGAAGGAACAACCTTTCTTAAAACAATATTGAACTTTTTAGAAGATGCCAAGAGTAAGATGCAATCGCTACGCTGGGAACCTGGCAAGTATGCTTAGGTGGGGACACTAATAAAATAACCTGTGAAGACAATCATAGGCATTCCTTGGTAGCTACTAAAAGCAGTCCTTTAAAAGTAGATCAATTCCCGGTTTGGCTCAATGGATAGAGCGTGGGCTTGGGCATGTACCTTGGTTGCGGGCATATCCCCAGTAGGGGGTGTACAAGAGGCAGCTGATCGATGACTCTCATTGATGTTTCTAACTATCTTTCTCCCTTCCTCTCTGTACAAAAATCAATAAAATATATTAAAAAAAAAAAAAAAAGTAGATCAATTCCAAAGCCGATGAGGCTTAAAAGAGGTGGTACGTTCCTACACTACTTGCCCATCAGTGACTGCGTCAGAGTTTATTCAGAATGGTTTGTTTTTATGGGAAAAACGGGCAGCTCTCCTGAGGAGCCATGAAAATATTCTTATCCTTTGACCTGCCATTCCTGTTTCAGGTATTTTATCCCCAGGAAAAGGTTAAAAAGGATGAAGATATTATCTGCGTGAAATTGTTCACCGTAGAATTATTTTCAACGTCAAAGTCTGCGCAAGTCTTTCAGAAAAACAGTCCATAAACCTGATGCAGGGATACGGCCCACGTACACGGAGGCTCCTAAGCAACATTACACAACGGTGGCTAACACGTTGGAGAAATGGAATGCACTAGATTCACAACAACGTAAAATATGCACGGCCATGCATACATACTGAAAGGAACAGCAAATGAATATGTAACGCGAAGACTGATATTTTGATTGACGTGACTTGAGCAAAATAACAGTTAAGTTGAATGTGCTGGCAGACACATATTTCCTTACTAACACCACACCCATGACTCTTGCTTCCTGAGTGGCGACAGGGTGCTCATGGATTTCCAATGTGTATCGCATGAGTACTTGCTGGTGCAACCCCCCTGGTGTCTCAGAAAGCCCGCTTTGTCTTCGAGCAGAAGGCCCCTAGGCCTGTGACAGCGGCCTGGCCCTCCGGTCCCACCTGTACTGCAGGGCCAGCCGCAGGGCTGTGGCGTTGGACTCGTATTTGCCCACCAGCATGCTCATCCTCTCCGCGTTGCTTTTGCATTCTTCCAGGGTTATGGTCAGGAGGTCATTTTGCGATTTGAGGTGTTCGATGCGGCTGCAAAGGAAGGAAAACCTCTTTCACAATTTCACACGAGGACCACAATGAATTTGCCAACATTTCAGGCGTCTAATCTGGCTTCAGGCTGGAAATGCAGGTTAGGAGGTGAGCCCGTCAGATGTTTTAGCAAATGCAACTGACAGGAAGCAAATGGAGGAAGTGACTGTAGATGGAAGGGCCACTGGGTGAGTTAGAAATGAGAATAAGGTATTTCCCACCCAGCCTTCCACCATGTACCGGGAAAGGAGCTGACGGCGTGGCTTCAGGCCCTCGGAGGGCATGGCTAGTCTACTTCGATAAACCACTTTCCACGAGGACAGACGAAAACAGCATCACAGTTACAGCGGCCACACACTGAGCCCCTGCTCAGTAACCCTCTCCATTGCCTCTTGCATTATTATCTCCACTTCTCAGAGGAGCGCATGGAGGCACAGAAAAGTTAAGTACCTTGTCCTGGAGTTTGACCCCAGATCCTGTGCTCTTAATCGCTAGCTACAGAGCAGAAGCAGAAGGTGAGTTAGTGAGAGAGAGAGACCGCCCGGCAGGCCTCGCCGGGAAGAGGACGGGGAACTGCGGAGCGTGTCCGCGGCTCCTTCCCGGTCGACATCCTGCAGCTGCTGACTCCCAGCAGGACCAGCAGCGGGGACACTGGGCTTCACAGAAACCAGAGCGACACACTCAGTGCAGATGAGCTTATGACGAAATCAGAAAAGCATAAGCCTCCAGCCTCTCTGTGTTCTGTCCCCGGACAGACACCGGCCCTCTTTCCCCCGAGACACACCCTTTTGTAGTGCTCTGACCGCCACCTCCTACAGAGGCAGAGGGAGTCACTCACAACATGCAAGCGACTCTTGACATGTGAAGGGGCTTGAGAATCCAGCTTACAACCACATATCTGAGCACAGAACACAGACACACCCCCATGGGAGATGCCTGGTGAACACTGAGACAGCGTGAGGCTGAGGCGGCTCCAGGTCAGTGCGATGTAAGGTGTTGCAAGAACATCCTTGTCTGTCCTTGCTCACACTGAGACCTCCTGACACATCCCTATTTTCTCATTACCCGTCAGCTTGCTTCTGCACACATTTGGTCCCCACGAATCAGAGGAAACTCTTTCCCAGCTCCCAGACCTCTGGGCGGCCAGAGCCGTCTTAGGGGCCTTCTCCGGGAACACCCTAGTGGGCCACTCCTTCCTCTTACAATGTTCTCCTTCGCCTGGGCCATGACAGGTCTCTGCTGGGTTCCCTCCTGCCTTAAAGGCTGTTTCTTCTGTCTCCTTTGCTGGCTCCTGTTGTCTATAAAAGCTGTGAGTGTTGGCATTTCCTCAGGACTCAGTCCCCGACCCCCTCCGCTGTCAACACTGTCCCCCTGGGGGTGCTGTTTGTCCCATCCTATGGCTCTCACAGGCATCTGTGTTCCCATGGCGCCTACACTCTCTCCTGTTTACTGTTTTTTCTGTTTTGTTATCACAGGGACCTCTTGATTTTCCCCAAACCCGTGTCCTCCCTCAGCTCAGTCACTGCCTCCATCGTCTACCCAACTACACAGGTGAGCTACCTGAGGATCTCTGAGACCATCCCTTTCTCTCAGATCCAGATCTAAACCAGACACCCTTCCCCTTGATTCTACCAGTAAACAAATACTGCCCCGCCCCTTCTCGGTTTCGGCCACACGGGCCCACTGCAGACTCTCTCTGCTTCTGCTCCAGCCCCACCCTTTCCATCCCTCACACCTGAGCAATCCTTCAAAATTTAGATCAGATCAGATCTGTTCTCCCTGCTACGTGACACCCTCAAACGGCATTCACTGACTCTTTGGATAAGGAGTAAACTTTGTCCTACCCCGTCCTGCCTAGTCTGCCTCCTCCTCTCACTCACTCTATTTTAGCTCCATTGGCCTCTGGACATGTCCTAATCATGCCAACCTCGTGGCTGATTAAGCTGGCCCATAAGAGACTTCTTACTTTGCCACATGGGTGCTCCTTTTTCCTCTTAGAATCTCAACTTAAACATTGCCTCTTCCGAGATGCCTTCCCCGGCCACCTATCAAAAATCAGTTCAGACTTGGAGCTTCTTATGATCTTATTCCTTTGCTTTTTGTCTAGGTCCCTAGCAGGGACCATGTCCGTTTTACTTTCTTTTGCATGCCAAGTAGCTTTGCACATAGTGGTTTTAACGAGGAAGCACTTTTGAGGAGCATGACTCTCCCTGCCAACACACAAAGGTAAAGGCCGTCACTTTTTGGAGTGAAACGGGCCTCCAACGTTGCCACACGTAGCTAAGTAACAGACGTGAGGGCATGCTGCTATGTTACTTTTAAGAACTCCCACGTCAGAGCTGCAGCTACGGCTGCAGAGAGGACAATGGAGGCAACGTCAAAGGGCAGGGCTTGGTTTCTGAAGAGGCTAATTCGTAGCTCTGGGATGGGGCGAGTCACTCATCCTGGAAGCCTGTGTTTCCTCATTTGCAAAATGGGGCTATTCCATCCTCCCACGGCGGTGATTAGGTGGTTTCTGTGAGCGCCCTTTGTAAACCGTTAACACTACAATGATGTGAGCTATGGCACCAAGTATTTCCTCCTCCTTTGATCTCTTCTGGTTGCTCCTTACTGAAGAGAATGGAGCCTCCCTCCAGCTCAACTGCAAAGCAGGCTTGTTAAATCCCAGAATCTGCAGAGAGGAGATCCTCTCTAAAACCAGGGCCCCCGAGGCAGCTGACTCCATTAAATTGCAAGGGGCACATCTGCTTCCATTTTTAAGCACCCCCGGGCCTGGGGTGTGCAGAGGGCCGCTGCTTCCCTGGTACAAGGTAATCATCAGGACTGCCACCCGTAAGTATTTTGGATTTAATACGGAAACCATTTAATTTCAAGATTTAAAATGACCTAGATTTGCCACATTTCCTTCATTCCCAAGCTCTATATTAAACAGCTTCAAGTCAGGGAGGACTAACACGGTAATTCAATTTATTCAGGTTTGCCACACGCAAGGGGAATGCTATTAAGCAACGGTGGATGGGAAGGCCGGCGCATTTCTTCCCAGTTAGTTCATAAGCCTTTCCAGTTCTCACTGTGCCCTCCCCCTGAAGACTGGGAGGCCGAGGCAGCCACATCACACATCGCGGGTGAGACTCCACAGTCCATTCTGCCACCACGGGCTGACTCTGAGTCAGTGTGGTTACCATGGTCTGGCTCTGGTCCTCTGCCTTTTTTTTTTTTTTTTTTTTTTAGAAGCTCTTGCTCATTGCTGGAAGGACACAGGAACCAGTCTTTTTGCCCAGAGGCAGGAGAGCAAACTCAACCTACCTCTGTTGTGAGACTTGGGAGAAATCCATAAAACTGGGTACATGACAAACTGTTCTAAGTAAGAATATACTTACCGAGGATTGTGCACATTAGCAAAAACCATAAATAAAATTAGGCGACCCTCAGAACAGGGAGGCTCAGACCAGCACGCCCTGTGAGCCGCAGGAGTGCTTCTATCCGATTGCCATGGCTGGCTCCTGGTGCCTCCCGCTGTCTCTGGGATGCCGACTCAACATTCCAGAACTTTCTCAGTGGTTCTCGGAAGCACAGGCCTGCATGCTTGGTGGCCATGCTGTCATTCTGACCTATTTGTCATCCTGAATGAACTGCTCCGGGAATTACAACATAATTTCCAACGGACAGTGCCAAATGAAAAGGCTGGGCCCTCGTTCGTAAATTAAGAATTTAAAACAGTCCAGCAGGCATGGCTCAGTGGTTGAGCATTGACCTATGACCCAGGAGGTCATGGTTTGATTCCTGATCAGGGCACATGCCCAAGTTGTGAGCTTGACCTCCAGTGTGGGGCCTGCAGGAGGCAGTCAATAAATGATTTGGTCTCATCACTGATGTTTCTCTCTCCCTCTCTCTCTCTCTCTCTCCCTCTCTCTCTCCCTCTCTCTCTCCCTCTCCTTCTCCTTCTCCCCCTTCCCCTCTGAAATCAATAAAAAAAATATATATATATATATGTAAAAAGCCAGCAACCAGAATGCAGTAAATAACACCATTTGGGGATGGGGCTGGCCCGCCGCCAACCTCCCATGGCCCCTTCCCGGGGCACTGACCCCTGATCGGCCTCTCTTCCCCATTCGGGGGTGGGGCCGGCCAGTCCACTACAGTCCCTCCCTCTGGCTGGCCTGGTTTTGACAGGGCGGGTGGCCAGCCAACCTCTGACCATCTCCTCCTCCTCCCAACAGGCCCAGCCCCAATCATTGGACCTCACCCCACCTGTGCACTGGGCTTCCCGTTATATAAAGAATTTAAAACAGTGAGAGCAGAGCAGTAAAGCAAGTGTGGAGTCCTTCCGAGTACGAGGCTCCACACATTCGAGTCTCAGGCCTCCCGCCTGAGAAGCATACTACCCACTAGCCTGGCAGCATCACAGCGCCACAATACACAAGCCCACTTTAGTCCATCTTTGGGAAGGGGAAGGAGGGCAGCTCCCACCAACATGCAAATATACACGTTTCCCTTTACCTGTTCAACCGCTCGGTTTCCACCTCAAACTCTCTGATTTTGCTTTCGGAGATGGCAGATCCGTGTGAGTAGAGCGTCTGGAAGATCTCTTGGATGTTGGAGCAGTCCTGAAGGGAGTGGGCCAGGTGCTCCGCCACGCTGCTGGATACCTGTACAGGGAGCACGAGTCCCCATTGGGATGGTGTCACTGCAGGAACACTGACCCCGGGCATGCTGTGCGTGCAAAATTACTTAAAGCTTCTCTTCCTGAGGATCAGGCCCCAGGAGATGGTTACCCTGATCTTTCCCATTTTTTATGTAATTCTAGTGCAGAAAGCTAACTACGAGCTGTGCAAGCAATACAGAAACAGGGCCAAAATACAGCTGCGTCCTTCAAATGCATGCTGCTGGGGACAGTGCCTCCTGAGAGTCCCCAACGCGTTGGATACTGAGCAGAGTGTGGGCCCTCCTCCCCCTTCCTGAACCGCTGCCACGCCAGGCCCTTGTCCCTGGCTGCGATAGCCACGGAGAATGGCTGACTCCTTTAATTTCATAATTTAAATCTGGCACGGAATCTGGATGCATGCAAATTTTGCTCAGTGTAGAATTCTAAATGAGGGCCTTAAAAGTGCCATTAAGGCTCTCTCCACCCCTGAGGAACAAACAGCTGGCTCTCCTAACCTCATCCCCAATCCTAAAAGGTATCCCTTGGGGAACCTAAACCGCTGCCTTCCCACCATCCCTCAGCCTAGCCTGGGTGCTGGCAGGCTCTACCAATGAGCACTCGGGCGCTGGGCGCGAGGGTCCTGGTCTGCCAGAGCGCTGGGCTTTACGTCACAGGCAGCGTTTGTCCCCGCTGGAGAGGGCACTGCCCTCCAAGGAGGGGTGCCAAAGGCGAAGTTCTTTCAGGGCTCCCGGCTCAGCCTCTGGGGAGCAGGCGGACAGAAAGCAAACAGTCCCAGACTTTCACGGACAGCCCCAGCAACGAGACTGAAATCGTTTCTTTCTGAACAGTTTGAAGTCGAGGAAAAAAAAGTCTCCCTTAAAGCTGGAGAAGTAATTCCCCATGTGGATTTTAATCTGACTCTGGGAGGAAGTCGTAATTACCATTATAATTAACTGGCCCCCTGGAAGTGAGCTTGGGGAGTTCCTCCGTGACCTCGAAGCCACTGTCTGAGCAGCTCCACTGGGAGCTTTCTGGCCCCGCTGCTCATGGACACTCACCCCGATGCTGCTGATTTCTGAGCCCAGGACGGGCCGATCAGACGAGGAGGACTCGGACCTGGTCTTGGATAGCTTCACCCTCTCAGCAATCTTAAAAAAGCAAAAACAACAAACCATCAAAAAAAAAAAAGGACACGCCATTCCCTAGATAAACCGTTCACACAGTTTACATCAGCCCACTGGTTAACCATGGCAACTACACCGATTCATATCTTAAAAACAATCCACTTGTCCGATTTTTCTACCATCCATTTAACCCAGGGTTTTCAACCCTAGCTCCGCTGGCCTTTGGGGTCGGGTGCTCTTGGTGGTGGGGGCTGTCCTGTGCGCTGTAGGATGTTTAGCAGCATCCCTGGCTTCTAGCCGCAGATACCAGTAGCACTACATTGGTGACCACCAAATTTATCTCCAATAACTGCCAACTAACTGTCCCTTGGGGGACAAAATGACTTGTCGTTGCGAATCACTGTTTTGACCTAAAGTATTCAACTTGATGGCTGAGAGCTGATCTTCTTGTGGAGACTGGCTGTCTACTGGGGAAGAGAAAGGGGAGAGTTTGAACCGTCTCTCTAGGATGGACTCCACATAGGAGCCTGGAGCTGTGGCAGAGAGCGGGAGGGGCTCCTTCTCGCAGCGACCGTGGCCGCCCATCCTAACCGATCTTCCCGCTGGCAGCGCCGGCAGTCTGATGAGTGGGGAGACCGGGGTTCATCACGTAGGGTCTCCTCCTGGGCTGGACCTTAGTCCTCGCAAGCACCTCTCCATCCCAACCCCCTTAGTGTTGTAGAACTGGACAAAACGTCTCCCTCTCCACAGGGACCTGCCAGTGGTGACATGCTCCAGCTGGCTGGCTAATGGGTGCTGGAGTCCAGGCTGCAGCTCAGAGAGACTTAAAACTGCCAGCGGGTTATCTCCCTGCAGCTCCAGCGTGGGAGGCCTGAGTGGGACCCTAGGGAAAGCCCTGGGCGTCTGAGCTCATCGCATGCCTGCACAGCGGCCTCCTCGGTACAGGCTGGGAAACACTGTTTTGACCTCAAGTGCCCAACGGGATGGCCGCCCCCAGAAGCTCACCTTGGCGATGGGGATGTCATTGCTGCTGCTGCTCGTGCTCAGCTCCCCGGTGCTGGGGTTCACGGGGCGGTTGGTGGAAGTGAGGCGGCCGGGGCTGGAGGGCCCTGTGGCCTGCACGCTCTGCAGTCGGGTCTGAAGCTCCCGCACCTGAAATAATAATAAAATAATAATAATAATAAAATAATAATAAATAATGCCTTTAGACACAGCGGGTGGATTCCCTGGCCAGATGGTGGATGTAGGACACTGATCTACATTATGGGATCACCTTCACTAACAAATTAAGTTGGTAGAGTCCACATTCATGTCACTGGTGTCACTGTGTTCTTTAAAAAAAAAACAAAAAACAAACAAATATATATATCTATATCTATCTATATATCTATATATCTATATATATCTATATCTATCTATCTATCTATCTATCTATCTATATATATATATATATATATAAAATTGGCTTTATGTTCTCTCTTTTTTAAGGTGTCATTGTATTCCTCACTAGACCTGCCATGGCCATCATCTGTGCTCCACAGACAGGAGGTGGGCATGCTGTCGAAGGCACCGGGAGCGTCTGGCAGGGGTGCAGCGATCCTCTCTGAGGGAGTCTGCTCCTCGTGTGCGTGACGCTGTGCCGGGCACCGCAGCCAAGGAGCCAGGATGGCATCTCCACTCCCCCGGAGCTCAGAGCTCAGAGGAGGGAGACTAATGGGTTCCACACTGTGCACACTGCGGGCTATACACGTCTGACCCAAAGCGGTGCAGGAGGCAGAGAAGGGGAGGTATGCCTCCATCTGAGAGGACCAAGGACAGGTTCTGAGGGAGCGGTACGCAGCAGCCTGACGGGCGGACAGGGCTGGCTTTGGTGGGGGTGCAGGTGAGTGGGCTGGGGAACAGCTTACACACGAACACAGGCACCATGCTGATGGGCCGCCTGTGAAGAACCGCAGGTGGAAGAGAGATGCGAACTGGTAAGGCCGCGAGGTTAAGGAGGAGACAGAGGTGGCACCTTCAAGACGGGCTTATCTCTGGGGCAGTGGGAAGGAATATCCAAATAGTGCTTTTGTATAAAAATGAACAACACGGCCCTCTGGAGGATACTGAGAACACACTTTTACCTGCACAGAATTTAAGTGTTCAAATCCTGCTTCTCTGTAACAAGTCAGTGAAGACTGTAGAGATTGGTCTCTCAGATGACCTGGAGCACAGCTTTGTCGCTGTGCACAGCGTCCATCTTAAAGGGCAAACAGACGGCAGCACCCACAGGCCCTTGCAAAAGGGTGACAGGCTCTAGCAAACGGGCAGCAGGCCCTGCTGGGAACAATTAGCACCAGGATGTCTAAGGCAGGGCTTTCCAAACGTGTAGGCGCACCAGATGTCCAGGGCTGTTAAAAACCCGCATCCCCCTGGGGGTTCTGGCCGAGCAGATGCGGTGAAGGCCCAGGAGCCCGCACTCCCAACAAGCTCCAGGAGGTCCGACGCCCCCGGGAAGGGGCCCACATCCTCAGCAGCACCGACCGTAAGGACTTCCAGGGCCATAAGCCCATTAGTCCCAGCGGCAGGAGGAGCAGAATCTGACCCTGCGGCCCTGGAGCCACACCCTGCGAGGCAAACGCTTCTCTAAAAGCAACTGAAAAGCTTTCATGTTATGTACTTTGGATGTCTCCATCCTGCTAAATTGGGAGCCAAAAGTAATTGAAATTTCAATAATTTATCAGCACGTTAGAAGCCAAATGGGAACATTTCCTGGGAGCAAAGGGCACTCGACAGTGACACGCCAGGCACAGGGCTGACCTCAAGAGAGTTAAAGACTGGAGAACACACGCCTGTCAAAGCTGAGGGTGTTGCTGGTGAGAGATCCGGGGCTTGTTATGGAATGTGCCCTGCAAACCACGAACGGGTGTAGTGTGGATGCCTCGTTACACGCTTCAGCGAAGGGAGCGGACCTGCTCCCCTCTCAGGCCTGCTCCCCGGCACCAGGGAAGCCTCCCTGATGGAGACCATGGATCTCACTTTCTATTGTGGAAGCCCAAGAGGCCCTGAAAAGTAACCCTGTTAACGCCGCTCCACAACCGCAGAGTGTCCGAGTCCCTCACGGCACCATCAGTGATCTGTGCCAAGAACCCCGATGGGCCTGCCCATCTTGCTTAAAAAAAAAAAAAAATACAAACTGCCCTGGGCAATTCATAAAAACCTCATTAAAACTTCCCATGTTTCAAAAAACGTTTCTCCTTATCACTAAAGCAAAACGTGTTCACTGTGGAGACTTTAGGTGACACGGAAAAGACGGAAACAGAGAAAGCACCAGGCTCTTTCTTACTCTACAGAGACATTTCTCCGCGTCCTTTTCCACGGCGAAGGCGTGCACAGGCATGCACGCTGAAAGTACCCCTGCGTCTACATATCCACTTTCACTGAAAAGCTTTGGACCCGAAGAATGTCTTTGAGAACGAAAGGATGATAAACATGTTTATTCTGATCTACGCTTTATTACTTAATGATCATTGTTATGCACTGAAAGAAATCGAGCCGAAGGGAGTGGGAGTTAAACAGCCTTCTCTCCTCTTGATTTGGGCTTGGGAGGGTGTGTGTGTGTGTGTGTGTGTGTGTGTGTGTGTTAATTTCAATGCACAGAAATGAAGGAACGGACTGGAATGAGAAGATAAAGGAGGCGAGTCAAGGGCTGTATGGATAGTTCAGGTGAGAAATGCTAAGAACTCAGTGATATGGGAGCAACCATGGCAAGTCCACCCTACACCTGCCCACCAGGAGTTCCGAAAGCGATGGTAATGTTCCGACCGCACTGTCCATCACGGTCACACGTGGTAGTGAGTTCCGGCCATGTGCCTGTATACCTCTGGGAGCAAGGGCACAGCCCTCCCTGGCTACTGTTCCACTTAGACTTCAAGGGAGGCATACCCACACCCACCCCCACCTTGGCACCAGGGCTGTGGCTTCAGCAGTGAGCAGATACGCACTAGCACCAGAGGATCCACCAGCGTGCTGCCATGGACAGAGGTAGATTAAGAGGTCAGCAGTGGGTCACCTCTGCGCACTAGATGTTTAGCTCAACCTGGGGCATTTGGTGGAACTGGAGCTGGAAGCTGGTGGCAAGCTGAAAAGATTAAAAATTGATATGTATTGTGGGGAAAAAACAAAAACAAAACTGAGTTTGCAATTGTATTCTATTTTCATCACCTTAAATTCAAACTTAAATTGCAGCCAGTAGCTACTCTATTAGCCATTGCACTTCTAAAACTACTCAAGGAAAAAAAAAAAAAAACCACTCAAATTTGTGGTGGGGTGACTCAGTGGACATGGTACTACTCGGTGAAATGGGGACAACTTGAGGAGGAGTTAATTTTTCAGAGAAAGATGCCAGCTTTGGACATGTTGAATTTGAAGAAGTACCGGGTATTCAGTCAACAACTAGGAATGTAATCTGGAGAAAGAAGGTCAGAACTGAATGCAGAGCTTCGGAATCTTGTTGTGGGGAGGCTGCCCAGGGAAGAGGGAGGAGAGAGCCTACGTAGCTTGTTGGGTGGAAGGGTCAGTGGAGGACAGTGATGGGGGGCACGCCTCCTCCAGGAGAGAAAGCAGAGGTAAGGATGGGCAATAAGAAGGTGAGTCTGCGGACTGGAGAATGAGGACGGGAGACAGGAGGTTTCTGTTTTTCTGAGAGAAAGGATTAAGGCCCCTCTGCTGGGAATGGGGGAGGGAATAGCAGATGTCAGAAAAGAAGAAGAAAGCTGACCTAGGTCCAAAAATGAAAAAGGGGGAAGGGGAAAGCTTAGACAGCACCGAGAACTCAGCTGAGCGCTTCCATTCAAGACAGTAGACCGAGCAAATGCATTGTTTCCTTCCAACTCTGGAGGCCTCAGGACAATGACAGGAAGGAGTAAAAAACGATTAAACCACACAGTGAAAAGAATACGCTTCAGCATTAGTAGAAACAAGATTTGAGCACATTCCTTAAAGCTAAACTGGAAGGAAGAGCTTATGAAAGAAACAGAGCAGAAAAAGCCAGACTCTCTAAGATATATAAGGGGAGGGGCCAGTGTACAGGAGAAGGCTGGCAGGGTCCGACTCTCCCCTTGGCAGGTTCCACAGGGGACGAGGATGAGAAGTGGGCTGAAAGCAGGGGGAGCAACTCTGTGTACAGAACAAATGAAAATGTCCAGCATGTGACAGCCCAGCTAAAATAAACAGGCACTCCTCCTATTAAAATTGCATGGAAATGCTGCCATAAAAAGGAACAATAAGAAAGAAATCCACTGCCAAGTTTAAAAGAAAGGCAATAAAATCTCCAGATGCCAGAAGTGAAGTGAAAAATAAGGCTAGAGGTTAGGGGGGGGGAAGGAGGGAGGCGGTGTGGGGGTAGGGGGAATTAGGGGTGGGAGGGAGAGCCATGGGAACTGAGGCCAGGGCGTGGACTGCTCATGTCAGGAGGGGCGGGGCATGAAGAGTTGGCCCCTGCCCATCAGTCTGTTTGAGCTGATCCTCCACATAAAGCCGGGAGCCTTCCTGCCCCACCATCTGTGGACAGGGGATTCAGTGCTGACCTGGAAGCCAGAGAGAAAGCCTAGAACGGTGCAGAGAGCCAACCATATACATTAAAATCCCAGGCCCATGACACACTTGGATGTGAAGCCGACATGTGTATCATCTGCATATTGCTGGCCCCAATCTTACAAGGCCTGGGTTTGGCCAGGCTACACACTGCCTTGAGACCTAAACTGTAAACCATCCAATAGCATGAGGGAACGGGAGACGTAAGCTTCCCATGTCGGGGAGCTCAGGACCAGGAAGCTGCTGGCCAGGGAGGTGTGGTGGCAGAGGAAGGAGGATGGAACAAGAGCTAGCAATCTCACTCAGGAGATGAACTCACCTCAGGAGAAATGAAAATAACGGAGACAGTGAGCTATATCACAGTAAACACGATCACCATCCTTAGTAAGATGAAAGGAATTTCCATAAAGAATAAGAAACTATGACATAAAAACAGGCGGGAATCCAATAAGAATAGGCAGAGGAGAAGAAAGCCAGCAGAAGAGGTAACCAATGCAATGAAATCAGTGTACTGGTTAAACTCTAGGCTGGATTACACTGAAGAGAGAATTAGTGAACTGGAACATAGAGCAGAGATT